ATTGTTTATGGCAATTGTGTGCTTCGGAATCCAATGCGATCACTGGAGGATTCAGTTTCCGTGAAAGAATGTTGATGTGTCGTTTGTAGCATCATCACGGATGAATCTTTTGTGATTCAAACTATCCTAGCTAGTATTCTCGGTGATTTCCTTGTAGGATTTTTAAATCTTTCTTTCCGGTGTGGTGGTTTTAACCCTTCTCTCAACAAATTATTGGGCGGTAAACATTTTCAAATTATGACACATTCGTGTTTGATTTGCAGTGTTACTATCTGAATGATGAAGAGAAGAATCAAGAAGAATATCATAGCCAAATCTCTCATATAATATGGAAGTTATTTTCACCTTAAACGTTTTATTATAAGAATGAAAAACGTTTGGACTGTCCCATCAGTACTTAACGAATTGATCCGCTTTCTTTGTTATTTCTCTTTTTCCTCTTCACTTTTTTCTTTGTTGCTTTTTCGACTAGTAAATGACGGTACTTCAATTATCAGTCGGCTAATGGATGCCAATAGATGATTCGTTGTTTAGTGTTGAAATCATATGAGGGTCATTTCGACGACTGTTTTATGTTGACCATTGTCAACTCTCGATGACTCGGCATTTTTTCCTCTCCTGTCATACACAGCTGAGTCTGTTAATTTATCCTCAATTCTAGGCCAAGCATGCTGTTGGCACGACGAGTTGTATTGTGTTCATAATTGTTTTGTAGACAGTCGGACTTAAATTATTACTGCCTAAAAGATAAATAAATGTCAGGATTGAAATAATATGGCTTTTCCACAGCTACTTTTATCTCAGTTTAAAGCGAAAATAAAAATAAGAAAAAGGGCAATGAATTTTTCATCCGAAACGAATCCAATGAATTCTAAGTGTTGTAAATGTTGGAATTTATTCAAATTGAAATCAATTCTTGTACAAGTTACATACGCCTCTCTCACAGTGTACCTCGTCTCATTGATTAGGCCAGATCACTGCTAATCTGTACGACATTGATTGCCAATTATCATTATGATACTCATCCTAGAAGTCTATGGGGCAACATTTGGGACAAGCGATTCCGCATTATATGAATAATTTATTCCCATTAAATTAAAATGAATTTTTAATTTAGTCTTATATAAATTACAAATACTAGCCTAGCTTCTTCAGAGTCCAATCAAGAAAGTAAACTGTCCATCATTAATTGAGCATTTCGCAACAGGGAATGATTGTCTTGTCTACGGCTTTTTTAATTAACCGAAAGTAATTTTAAGCTGAGGTTTGAGCTTCAGTAGGAAGGTAATTCTGTCGCGTACGGAGGTAAAGTGGATATTTGATTTCCCGAAACCGCAAATATAAATTAAGAATGGTTGTAAATTGTCAGTGCTTCAAACGTTTAGTCATCATTTTTTGCTTTTGTAACAAATTTTTCAAATTATTTCATTCAAAGAAAATTCAATAAAATATTTTGAAAAGCGATTCACAAATTTTTCGATTCCCCTGTCAATTTTTTCGTTTTTTATGTGTTTTACAGGACTTTACAAGTAGAAAAGATTCCTTTTCAAAATTTTGTTCTATTAAAATTTCAAAAGGTTTATTACTGGTAAACTATTTCATTTAAACATGAAATTCTTCTTTGGAATAAAACAAAACTTTTTTTGTTTATACTAACCTATGTTTGCTTCACACTGTTCTAAATCAAAAGAAGAAAGAAAAAACATTTCTTTCCAAATTCTACCAACAAGTTAAAAGTGTGTGTTAGCTAGAGATGTGTCTTCAGTTTCGGATTAGGTGTTAAATTTAAATAACAACCACAGGTTTCTAATACCCGTAGCTTATTTTCTTAAGTACGGCTAGTTGGCATTGGTTTCTCCGATGAAAACAATAATTCCTTGGCATGCCTAAGACCACCTGCTAAAGAACATATTTACCTGCATCGAGCAATATGATACCAACTTCAATTTGCTTTCTTTGTTTTAAGGTTAACAATGTGGCCTAAATGTTTTTTTGCAATTTTTCTGGCATCCTTCTGGCATACAGGTAAGTCTTTCACAATTGTGTTAATTACATTTTTGCCTAACTTGTAACAAATAATTCCTATGGAAAAATCTCTAGACCGAATAATCCCGGCGCCCATTCCGATCTTGAGAATATCTAAGTCAAATGATTTATCATTTAGTAAGCTCAAAGAGTTTATATTTATGAATGCAAGCATACGTTTCAAGACTAAATTATGAATAAAACGCTCAATAAAGTTTTTTAAATGCAGGAATAAATACCACAAGCTGACAAATTAATTGATGAATAATTTAAATACTCGAATGATGACTGATAATTACATCTGATGCAACGAATAATGGACAGAGCTACGCGGTAAAGTATCATTACCTATTTTTATAGATTGTCAAGATTTGAACTGTAAGCCAGAATACCACTATAACAGTGCAACCGATGCTTGTTACAAGGTTCGAAACTAATAAGTTTTGATTCAAATATTTGCAAACTACTCTCTTCCCTTGAATAATCACATTTTCAATATATAAAAATGATGACGGTCTTTTTGTGATATAACTTGAAACTATCAAAATATTCTGAAATCAAACAACTACGGAGATTAACCATAACAGCACATTATGAGGTAATTTTTATGAACAGTGGTCTATTTACAGATGATTCCGAGGGATTAATCATTTCTAGTGATCTAATGAACTGAATACCGTTAGGCCAATGAACATCACATATTGTGAAGCTAAACATATTTAAGGGTCATTTCATTCTTATGTCTTTCTTCATGTCCTTTTCTTAACTAACCCTCAGTAATCTTCGAAAAATATGGTTGAATTCGAATTTTCATACTCTGGCAAATTCTTTTTTCACAAAAATTGGCAAATATTCAAGATTTTTATCAGTTCCTTCCGTGTGCATAATGCACAATCGTTTATTCATTACCTCTCAGAATCTCTCTCACATCCTCAATACAAGACAATCATAGAGTTTTGTCACATTTCCATCCAATCTTCGTTGGATGATAGCTATTACAGATGTATGTGACAAATTCAACAAATCATATGAAAGTGGAAAACGTGTCACTTTTCTGCGCGAAAGAAAATGCTACGCTAACAACCGTAAATTCGAACGCTGAAAGAGATTTCCTTTACGGTATACATATTAATAGAAGTATAAACACGTAAAACAGATATGAATACTGAATCACGTCCAGTCTGTTAAGCGATACTATATAATAAATTATATATAATTTACACGTTAATTATCTCATTTTAAATATTTGTGAAAAAATTTTGTTGAAACGTTTCAGATTTGATCAGTCATAGTACGTATTATCCGAGCATAGCGAGTTACAAAGTGTTGATTGACGTACAAAACGACAAATGGGTAGATAGTAACATATTGCTTTATACGGATTGTGAAACGAAATATCCGAGTTCCAGTGAATGTACCGCGATTAGAGTAGAATCGAATGGTATCATGGCAAAAATAGGCAAATGGACGAGAATGAACTGTGACGAAAGCGTATTTGCTTTTTTATGCAAAACAAAGGCGAACAAATTACCAGTACTGCATAGGCAATGCTTGAAAGGCTACGTTTATCGTCCACGTACTGGTCTCTGTTATGCGGTAAGTTCCATAATTAGTGAATAATGAAGGCGGAAGTGACAAAGACGATGGCGGAAATAACCTTGTTATATATGTCTATTTACAATTATTACAATATTACAACCTATTATCCTCTGCGAATTGATAACTTCCTTCTGAACCGAACGAAGAATACCTTCTCAGAATAATAAAAACTGATTAGTTTCTTTTATTTTTTTTTTTATCTCTGCTATGGCATTTAAATTCTGATTGCAATAGCAACAAGTAATGAAAAATGGAACGAAGTGAACTAGCGATCAAGTGAGGCAATCATTTCATTCTTAGAAACTTCCGTGTTCCAAAGTTTAATTGAGTAGTCAGTAAATCCAGCAGTGCTTATGAAATAACAGTACGGTTGCCAGTACTATTGCTCATTTTCAGATAAAATCACCAAAAACAAATACTACGGCCTATGAAACAGCTGCTATTAGCTGCCAGGATGAACTTGGAATGCTGGTTTCTGTACATTCTACAGAAGAAACGGAATTTATCACCAGAGGTTATCATCAAACTTCATCAATAATTTGTCAGAAAAAAAGTTTGAAGATGAGAAAAAAAAACATTTCGAGAAAGCTTAACAATATGCAATAGAAAGGTTAACAACACATAAAGAAAGCTTCACAACATGTAAACTTTTTTTCACAGTTCCTACAACGGATCTTACACTGAATTCCTTTTTGGCTAATATGTTTAGTCTTAATATCAGAGTTGGTACCTCAAAGGTCGAATGTGACAAGGATATATCTTGCTCTGATTTATAATTTCGATAAAAATGGCGGATATTCCTGGGCAGATGGAACGATATTTGATTATCAAAATTGGAATCCAACGAAAGCTAGACAAAATGCGGAAAACTCCTGTGTCGAAATGGATCCGAAGACTGGATTCTGGGACCAGATTCCGTGCATTCGAAAGAGCAAGCATGACAACACTCACACTGCTGACAATGCAGGAATCATTTGTCAAACACTCCCAATATTTCATTAATACAATAAGAAAAAAAACGCTCAATTGGAAGCATAAATTTAGACTGCCCTCAGATTCAACAGCTTCAAAAGCAATAAAACAAGATTCAACAGCTACAAAACAATGACTTTAATTAAATGTTTAAAAAAGGCATTAACAACGACCGCTATAATCATACATAACGCAGTCACACCAAATTTTAACAAGGGAAGGAACAAAACGGCATCCTCATGCGCACATCCCACATCTTTTGCAGTATTTATTGAATCTTCGCACCATCTAAACTGGAAGGACTGTGGCCTGTAGCAAAATATTCGGAAATTCACAAATTTCAATCAATTAGCAAAAAATACCAAACCCCTGACTTGACACTAATGGAAATCTAATCTACGTCAGTTACAAAACAATAATTTTAATAAAATGTTTATTCTTTTTCCGTTTCTGTGCGACGAATAAAATCACTTATTTGATGTCTTTTTCGGCCATTTTTCTTGGAGTTACTTGGCCATTTTCAATGAGGTTCAGGCACAAAGTCCCATAAAGTTTCATTTACCGCTGAAATGTTATCAGAAATTTTATAGTCTAAACCAGACAAGAACTTTTTAAATCTTTTATGGCAATTGTGTGCTTCGGAATCCAAAGGGATCACTGGAAGACTCAGTTTCCGCGAAGGAATGTTAATGTGTCGTCTGTAGCATTATCAGGGATTGAATCTTTTATGATTCAAACTATCCTAGCTAGTATTCTTGGTGAATTTCTAGCAGGATTTTAAATCTTTCTTTCCGATGTGGTGGTTTCCAACCTTTTCCCAACAGATTATTGGGCGGCAAACACTTTAAAATTATGACACATTCGTAAAGCGCCTCAAACATTCGTCTATGTCAGCAAAATACAGCAAATTTTGGTGCCGTAGACTGGAAAATGTCTGTATATAGTCAACAGTGCGCAACCGGTAAAAGGAAAACTGGAGAAGCTACTCGACGAAATTCAAGAAACAAATTTAGCGCTTCCAGGTCAACATTTATCAAACGAAGAAATACGACAGCAATACAAGATCAAGGAAAGAATTATTGAAGAGAAAATAATGCGTCTCCAATTGTGTATTGATACTCTTGAAAGAACAAATGAGAAATGATTAGAATATTCTCAGAAACACGTGCAAAAAAAGAGAAAAAAGAAGAGAAATACATGGAAAAGGTACTTTTAATTTGGTATATGAATGTAGAGAAAGTATTGTAATCGTAACTATGTATGAGGTGTCGAGTTAGCACTTTACCACTTATCCCAAGACAAACCTGAGAACAAGGGTCATTCAAATTGGCTTCTCATGCAACAATAAATTTATCCCGATTACCACTGTCAACATTTAGTAGTGACCCTTAGAAATTGGACTAGTCTTGGCGGTGCAGCGCCCATTCAAGCTACACCAGATATTCAAGCCTGCTACCTGCCTTCTTATCTTAAAGATGACCCTTAAAGATTATGATAATTATTGTAACGATAATTACTGAAAGCCAGAAAATTATCGCCATAAGAAAGATTCTAATCGTAATAAGTTTAACAGCCACAAAATTACAAAATAAGCTGCATTCCTTCATGAGAAATCGAAAAAAGAAAACAACAGCCAAAGCCATTGAAAGAATAATTTAACAACTAGAAGCTGTAGGTGAGAGGAAACTCGTAACATTCAAGCATCGAAACAGTCACTGGAAGTAAATTACCGGATTTGATATTGGATAAAGTATATCAATAAAAAGAAGGGCAAAAACTATGGCCGTCACTAAGCTCCAACAACTCCTGGGAAAATTAGTCAGAAGAAACGGGAAAGTAATTGGAAGCCAAATCCTTGGTACTGGGAAGTAAAAAATCCAAATGAGTCGAAGATAAATTAAGTCCCAAATAGAATTGGAGGAGAAACTTTCAGCAACAGCTCTAAACAATTTACAAAAGTCGTAAGACAAGAATATCTTGTACTTTTTGCAATAAGGATCTTTGGAATGCTAGGCATATTCCACTGTCAACCAACGGATGAAAGTTTGAAAGAGAATAATACTTTCTTTAACTGTTTTCGAACATACCGCAAAGGATTGCAACAAAAGGAAACATTTCCGCTTCTATTTACATTATCTTCATAATGCTCCATATGTCAAATAAAGGATGGGCACTAGAAGCTGAACCACTCAAAGAGAAAGGATTCAATTACTTCAGTTAATTCAATAATGTAGTATTATGAGAATAATTGTACAAAAGGATCCACAAGATGAACTTCGTAACAAATCAGCCGAAGCTTAGAGGAAATTAGCAGAAGCATAAAATCGTGAATATCAATTGGCGCATGAGAAAGCATAGATGAAAGGGAAGTATGGCCAACTTCAGCACAAATGCAGAAACTCAAGAGTAACTTAGATGATCTATGAAAAATGAAAAATGAAATACAAGGAAGACTGAAGTACGTAGAATCGATAGAATCGGAGCTCAAACTGAAAACCACAAATAATGCACTGAAAGTACAAATGTTAAATGTCGCGAACTTCGAATATCGCGAAGCTCCAAATGAAGTGAAATAATTAAATAAACCAATGTACAAATCAATCACACAAATTGTAACAATGTCATGAATCATTTAACCAATTTTACATTCCTCAAATTCATTGTCTCATGCGTTTTTCTTTGTTATCATTATTTAAGTCCACATCCTTTCCTTTTTTATGGCAACAAAGCACACTCATAAGCTAAATTTCTTTGTCTAAGAACCAATCTTAATTGCAATGCTTAATGTTGCAAACAGAGCCTTTTGTTGCAAGCGGATTTTGACAGTTTTTTTTTATCCAGGAGAAAATCTGATGTAATGTTTGTTATAACCACTCCCATCAAATACGCTCTTTGTATTAATTAAAATTGTATATATACTCAAGGCCATAACCAGATCATTTCCTTTTCAAACATCCAACCAAGGACTGCACCGTATTTTGTATCCTCTACTCTCCTTAACAAATATTTTCCTACTATCCTC